TGGCTGGGGATGGTTGGTGCTGCTGAGGAGGTGCTCTTGATTATACATAGAAGGCTTCTAAAAGCACTGGAATTACAGCTCCTTTGGCTGCTCTGTTTATGTATTTATACTTCCAGGGGTGTTTAAGAAAATGACTCCTTACTTCTTAGGCCCTGCTGTTTGCTTCCATGGAATGTGCTGCCATCACCTGGAATAAGTGCCCAGATCCACCTTTGCCAATGTTGTAGCTCTCTAGGCTTTGAAACCGCTCCTGTGCCTGTCACTTCCTCAGATGTGGCAAAATCTTAGACCAAGATTCACAGGCATACAGTATTGAGAGGTGCTGATTGAGATTGGTGGGTTCTGTGTGCCTGTGGGTAAAATAGCTGTGGCTTCTACAGCTTGAGGAAGAGTTGACACTGTCGTTTGCAAGTCATTTGCACCTCCTGTGCAGTAGTGAGCTCAACCCTTGCACAGAGCAGCACTTGTCTGGTCATGAATCCCAGTCTCACAGTGCAGTGTGCTGTAGGTCAGGTTTGTGTCAAGGCAGCTACAGCTCGTCCAGCTTTGCCTCCTCGGTTGTGGGCTCTTGGCAGTGAGTGAGCTCATGAGCTGGAGGAATGTCTGTGCAGAAATACTTGTGGTCAGGTTTAAGTGATGGTTATTTATCAGAACTGGTTGAAAAACTGAAGGGTTCTTAGCAGTTACATGGCAAATAGGAGCAGTTTATAGCTGGTGTGTGACCTGTGAAGGTAAACTGACCGGCAGTGTTCTGATGTCCTGGGCTCTTGGACAAAGCATCCCCTCAGATCTTCCCTGTGAGGCGCTGGCACAGGGTGCCCAGAGGAGCTGTGGCTGCCCCATCCCTGCAGTGCTCAAGGCCAGGTTGGACACAGGGGCTTGGAGCAAGCTGCTCCAGTGGAAGGGGTCCCTGCCCATCGCAGGGGTTGGAGCTGGATGTGCTTTTAGTTCGTTTCCAACACAAACCATTCTATGATTCCAAGGCATGAGGACCTCATCACTTTCATGTGGGCTCCTTCCCACACCTTTGCATCTCCAAATGCTTTGGAGGGGGTTCCTTTGCCTGCCTGCTCCTCCTGAGCCCCCCTCCCTCCCAGGAGGGGTGCTGTGGCTGATGGTGGTGTCGGAGGTGCTCTGCTCTCAAAGCAGTCTGTTCTGGTGCAGTTCCTCCGCCTGGGTTGGATCCAGGCTGTGTTGCTCCTGTCAAGCTTGGTCTTCACTTGCTGAGCCCCAGCTCTGGCACAGTGAAAGGGGATGAGTTCCACAGCACAGGAAAGCGGGCTGTCTGATCTGAAGCCATGGTGTGCCTCGGTCTTCACAGGGAGAACTACTTGGATGCTCCTGGTTTCGAGGTGAGTCATGGTCTCTTGGAGGTGTCCTTGCTGTGGAGAAGAAAGCAGGGCTTGTGAGCAAGCAAGCTCCCTGCTGCTGGGGTTGCTGCAAACTCTTGCTTAATGCATGACTTCCCTTTTCTGTGGAAAAAAAATATCCCTGCCTGGGCTGATGCTCCCAAGCCAGCATTTCCCTTGGCACAGCCACAGTGTTTTATTTGTACTTTCAGATGTGGCCATGGAAAACCTGAGGGGAAACTTCCCTCACTGTCCTAAAAGTGCACTATTTCCCATTCAAATTGCTCTTTTCCTGTACTTAAAGTGTTCCTTGAGCTCTGTGGAGAAGGTGCTGAAAACACGAAGCCAGCAGTGGCTCAGCCAACACAGAGCTGAGGATGGAACAGGGCAGGGGAGCAGGATGCTGCTTGCTACTAACACCCCTAGGCAGTAGTGTTAGATACACTCTTACAGTGAAACCTGCTGCTGTCCTGGTGTGTGTGACTTTGTCCCTGGTGACATTCACAGGGTACCTTAGGAAAGCTCTACAGGAATATAACACCCAGGTTGGTATGAGTTTAACAGACCCTGCTTGCCTCTGGGTGTCGTTTGAGGTGGTTCCTGCTCACCTCCATCCCCTGCTGCCCACAAGGCAGAGCACAGCCACCCCAGGGTTTATCCAGGCTGTTTCCAAGGATGGGCATGGAAATAGGAAGGTGTCTGCTCAGTGGGGCAAGAAGTGGCTTTTCATCTGGCTGGTGGGTTCCCACCATGGCACAGGGTCAGGTCACAGTGGTGGTGAGCCTTGTGGTGGCATTGGCCTTGCTTGGCTCTGGAGAGAAGGGTGTTGAAGAACCAGATGGGACCTTTGGGTTTAACCTGGGGCAGGAGGAACCCAGAGCTCTCCCCTTGCTTGGTGCATCCTCCCCTGGGGAGGTTTCTGGGGCTCACACAGGGGGCAGGAGCTTTGCTCAGTACAGGATGGGGGATTTGCTTTCCTATCCTTTACCCTTTGGAAGCAGGAGCTCTGCCATCCACGTACCCTCACCATGCCGTGGGCAGGGGTTTCCCTGGGCTCACTTCACAAGTAATGGCAAAAGCAGCTGTTATTCCTCAGCCAACCTGGCATCAGAAACAGCTCCCTGTGCCCGTGTGAAACCCCCGGGAGAGCTGGAGAATGAGGAAGGGAAACCGGAGAGCCCAGCACAGAGCTGGGTGTGGGATGTGTCCTGGGGCTGTCTGGAGGGGAAGGCTCCCCTGGCTGAGCGTGTGGGTGGGTTTCATGGCTTGTGTTGGTCCCAGCTGGATGCCGTGTGGGATTTGGTGAGGAGCTGCATCATGGGATGCTCACCCCGCCGCAGGCACAGGGCTGTGTGGGATGCAGGATATCCCAGCCCTATAAACCCCTGGAGACCGGGCTGTGCTCTCCGGTGAGCCCTGCGGCTCAGTCATCCCGCTTGGGTTTGCCCAGGGGCTGCCCCTGTGCTGCTGAGCTGTCACCGCATGGGCAGTGGGGAACGTCCTCACCAGCCACCATACAGGCAGGGTCTGTGGGCTGGGAGCTGCAGGACGGGGGCTTGGCTGGTTCCAAACAGCTCCACGTGAATGCCCCTGGGGTTGTTTCTGCTTCCCTGCCTGCCATAATTGCTCTGCTGGCTCTGGTCGAGGTCCTTAGGGGATGAGCAGGTCTGAGCTGAGCCCTGAGCCTGCACATTGCTCCAGGTGCCTGCTTCTCACCCCAAAATCAGCCGGTTCCCAGCCTCCCTTCATGGTGCTTGTCAGGTTTTACACGGGCAGCACAGGATGTGCACAGAGACAAAGCCTCCGAGGTGATGGGTGGTGAGGAGTCTGTGCTGGTGCGGGTGCGGGTGCCAGCCGCAGGCTGTGGAATGGGATAAAGCAGCCTGGAGGCTGCTCTGTGACAACACCCGTGCTTTCCCAGGAAAATCCATTCACTGGCTTAGAAACCACTCTGGATGCCATGGCCAGTGCAGGCAGGTTGAGGGGAAGTACTGAAGGAGTCAATGGTGATGTCTGTGTGGGCTCATTCGGTGCTGGGCTCGGGGCGCTCAGCCAGTTCGGTGCCTGTGTTTGTGGTTTCAGAGTCAGGCCCTGCTCCATGAAATCACTGCGGGGTTTCGCTGTTCAGACTTTCCCTGGTTCCCCTTAGGGCTCAGGCTGGTCATGGGATGAGCCTGGAGCATGGGCCCGGCATGGGGGGCTTATAGGGAGCTGGGCTGAGGCTGTGAGAGAAAACCCTGTTCCCCAAGTCCCCCTGTACCAGCATGGGCTGAGAGAGGGCGGAGAGAGGAATGATTATGGAGGGGTTGATGTGAGTTTGTCCCCTCCCCTTTATCTTTAACCCCTCGGGATGGTTTCTGAATGCAGCAGCACTGCACAAGCAGCAGATAAGTGATTCCCCTTCACCCTTGGGCAGCCCCAGTGCTTTCCTGCTGGGTTGCATGGGGATGGGACCGCGCACCAAAGTCCTTTCCCTGTGTGGAGGCTGCTGGAGCATCCTCCACCAGTGCCTGCTTCTCCTCCAGGGCATCTGCTGGGGTACCCTGCGTCACCCCTTGGAAATGCTTTTCATACAATCCCGGACTGGTTTGTGTTGGAAGGGACCTTAAAGCTCATCCAGTTCCAACCCCTGCCATGTGCAGGGACACCTTGCACTAGAGCAGGTCGCTTTTAGGTTACTCCTTAACCCCGCTCTCCCAGCACACTGCCGGGCTGGCTGTGCCATCCCGATGGATGGATCCAGGACTGACTGGGAGAAGGGATGGAGCTGCTGAAGGAACCCACCCATGTCCTCCCCCTGTCCTCAGCCACTTCCCAGCCCTGGGGCCGTGTGGAGGTTTGCAGGTAACCAGTGACATCCAGGCCATTGCTGGGCCCTGGCCATGGTTGTGCTGGGTCCTGGTGCTGGGCATGGGGTGCCCGGAAAGGCCAAGCCCTAAGGCTCATTGCTGGCCCTGGGGATGTGTCAGCCCCAGGGTGCCCCAGGTCCTGTATAAAATCACCTACAATCAGCATTATGGGGTGGAATGCACACATAGCACTAACGGGGCTGTGGGGTGGGCTATGCCTCACTCCCACTGATGCTTTGGGGTCACCCACCTTGAGGGGCTGTTTCTCCTCCCTTGGGTTTGGGGGTTCAACCCCTGAAGCCATTGCAGATAGGGCAAGGGGGCTGCTGCAGGAGGGGTTTGGAAACACTCAGTGGTCCTTTAATCATCACCCCTGCAGCCAGAGAGGTGCAGGCCAAGCCCCCCTGCCCCGAGAGGGTACAAAGGGACCCCATGGAGGGTCCTGCTCAGCCTCTGGTATCGCACTCTGCATCCCACTTCCTTCCTCACGCATTGCCTTCCGCCTCCCCATCCCACCTCCTGTACCCCATATCCCACCTCCTGCCCACACCCAGGGGTCCCAGAGCCCGCCAGCCCCATGGCACTGGTTGTCACCAGGCCGGACACCGTGACCCATCAGTGGCAATGGGGTGGGAAGCGGCGCCCCATGGATTCACTGTGGTGCTCGCAGCCGCATCCAGCATCATCTGTGGACCGGGGACCTGCCGGGCTGAGGTCTGCCTGGCAACAAGTGATGCCCGTGCCGGCAGCCAATGGGGATTTCTCCTGCCCCCCCGCCCCGGGGGTGTCGGGGCAGGGTGAGGGCTGGGGTATTTCCCGCAGCAGCGCTCGGGGTGCTCAGAGCCCATCGGGGTGCGCGGAGCAGCCATGGCCGACGAGCAGCGGGACCTCATCTCCAACCGCGGCAGCAGCACGCTCAGTGTCGGGGGCACCCAAAGGTGCTGTGCTGGGGGCTTGGGGAGATGGGGGTCATGGGGAGGGCAGAGCGATGGGGATGTGGGGCAGAGGGGGTGTTGCGTGGCTGTGGGGTGGACCATGCAGTGGACACGACGGTTGGGCCAGGAGGGCACAGAGTGACTGTGGGGCAGAAAGTTGGGGTCATGCTGTGGCTATGGGGCTCTGTGCAAGGAAGGGGGCCGTGGCGTGGCTATGGGGTGGAAGGAGCTGGAGCATGGCTGTGGGGAGGGCAGGGGCATGGGGTGGCTATGGGGTTGAGGGGGTCACTGTATCTCTGGGGCGATGGGGATATGACATTGCTATGGGGTGGACAGGGGAACAGCACGGCTATGGGGCAGGCAGGGACACAGCGCAGACCCAGACCCCAACCGAGTCTGTGGGGCCACCCCCATGTCCCCACCACCCCCATGTCCCAGCCAGCCCCATCTCCCACACCCCGGGGCACGCCCAAAACTTCCAACCAATCAGGAGCGCGGAAGCTCTGACGTCACCGGTCGCCAGGCAGACATCGAGGCGGCGGGTCCCGCTCCGGACATTGCCTGCGGCAGCCGGGCAGCACCCATGGGGACCGGCGGCTCCCTGCTGCACCCATCAGGGTCCGGCAGCGTTGCAAGCGGCTGCATGGCGTTGGCTTTGCCTTGCCTTGGCATGGGGGGCTATGGCGGCAGTGACACCGCTGTTCACACTGAGGTGCACTCTGCCCTCTACCCCCTGGCATCAGGAAGGCTTCAGGGGGCTCCATCATTGCAAAAGGAGATGCTCAGAGCGATGCCGTGGCCCCACATCCCCCGTGCCCCACTGGTGCCTCCTCCCTCTCCCCCCGCGGTGGTTTTCGGTTCCCCAGTGTGGAGGAGGGACCTTCACGCTGAGATTTCACTTCTGCACATCGCGACGGGGCCAGTTTGTGCTTGGCTGGTGGCAAAGCCCCTGGGAGGTGATGGTGATGGTGATGGTGATGAGGAGGTGTGAGCACATCTGCTGCTGGGGGCTGGTGCTCCCCCTGTCATGGCAAGGGTTGGAACTGGATCATCTTTAAGGTCCTGTCTGTGACTCTCTGTGCTGCAGGTCTGTGCTGGGCAGGAGAGCCGCCCTCTCCACGCTCTCCATCCTGGTGGCCCTGCTCATCGCTGGCCAGGCCGTCACCATCTACTTCGTGTACCAGCAGAACGGGCAGATCAGCAAACTGACCAAGACCTCGCAGACCCTGCAGCTGGAGGCGCTGCAGAGGAAGCTGCCGGCCAGTCCGTAACCCCACGGCACCACTGTGGTGGTGATGGAGGGTGGCTGGGAGAGGGGACCACCGGCCCCGGCGCCCCTCACACTGCTCCTCCCTCGGCAGGTGCCAAGCCGGTGAACCAGATGAAGATGGCCATGATGAACAGCCCCATGGTCATGAGGGTCCTGCCCCTGGCCACCTCTGCAGCCAACAAGGTAAGAGATGCTGAGCACTGCGTGGCTGCTGCCTGCTGCCCTCGGGGCTCAGTGCCAGCCCTTGTGCTCACCCTGTCCCTTTGTCTTTTCCCTTGAGGCCATGGCCCCAGCCAGCAACAAAACCGAGGACCAAGTCAAGCACCTGCTGCTGGTAAGGTCCCCGGTGCCCCTACCGACCCCATAGCTTTCCCCTCCGCTGCTTGTCTGGGGATCCGTTGGGATGCTCAGAGCTGGTGGGAGCTCCTGGCCTCCTGCGGTGCCCGTGTGGCTGGTACCAGCAGAGCTGCATGCATCACACCTCGTTCCTCTTTGCCCTGTCTCACTGTGGTGGTCCCTCTGCAGCAAGCAGACCCCAGGAAGATGTTCCCGGAGCTGAAGGACAGCCTGATGGACAACCTGAAGCGCCTGAAGAGCACCATGACTTTCGAGGACTGGCAGGTCAGTGCATCCCCTTGAGGAACACTGCTCTGTGCAGGGACTGGGGTGTCCGCACCAGTCCCGCTTGAACCAGGCCAGGGTTACTCTCCCTCCACGGATGCTGGTGATGCTTATGATCTCCCTTGGTCCAAGCTGCAGCTTGGTGCACCGCTCTCACCCTGTGATGGTTAATGTGCTGCTCCCCCTCTTGCAGTCCTTCGAGTCCTGGATGCACAAGTGGCTGCTGTTTGAAATGGCCAAGAACCCCAAGCCAGAGGAGAAGCATAAGGAGATCCCAGCGAAGAAAGGTACCAGGGATGGGGGCTGCTGAGCTGGGAAGGGTTGGGACGGGCCCTTTGGGAACAACCACCCCCTGTAGGTGCCACCATGGTGCTTCCCAAGGGCAACCAAACCCTCACCCTTGGCCACAAGGTCCCTTGGTGACCCCTTCATTCCATGGGGTACCTCTGGTTGGCGATGCTTGGGATACCACAGGGCTGCTGCTTGTAGGGCTTTGGGGATGAGTGAATGTCAGAGAAGCTGCAGCACCTCCCCACATCCTCATTCCTGGGCTGGCCCCAGAGCTTCAGGTCACCGTGGTGGGGGCTTCTTCACCTTCCAAATCGGATTTAACTGCTCTGGATGGGAAGCTCCTGCAGACCCCAGGCAGCAGAAGGGCTGGGGGGGTTCCAGCATCTCCCCTTTGTTCTTGTTGCCCTTAGTGCTAACTAAGTGCCAGGCGGAGGCCAGTTCTGGGGGTGTGCATCCGGGCCGGTTCCAGCCGCAGTGCGATGAGAACGGGGACTTCCTGCCCAAGCAGTGCAATGCCTCCACCGGCTACTGCTGGTGCTCCTACAAAAACGGCACCAGGATTGAGGGCACTGCTACCCGGGAAGAGCTGGACTGCGAGGGTAGGTGGCCAGGGAGGGGAAGGAGAGCAGGGAGCAGCCTGCGTGGATGCTGCTCCTTGTTTTAGTTGCGGATAGGGAGAGCTGAGAGAGGGCAGAGAGTGCTCAAGCTGTAGGGAGCATCCCACATTAAGGCTGGAGGGGTCCCTAAACCCAGCGCTCACCTTGGGGAGCTGCAGCTCGAGGTGTGGGGTGAAGGTCTTCCATCAGCTCATGGTGTGGGTGCAGGCTCTGCCCCACTGCCCTCGGAAGGCCCAGCACCCACATCCTGCCCTCTCCCTGCAGCCGCTGCCACCGCTGCCCCCCGCACCACCCCGGAGCTGGAGGAGATGATGTTCTCCGGGGTGGACATGCTCAGGCTGGGCGCAGAGAAAGGTGAGTCCTGGGGTGGGGGGGGGGCTGCAGCAGAGGATGCAGGGGGCTATGGGGGGGTCCATGTCCACCCCCAAGAGCATCAAAGAGGTGCTGGGGAGATGGAGGTTGTGATGGAGACAACAAAAGCAGCCTCAGCTCTGGAAGGTCCTGGAGCCATCCCACTGACTCCCTGCCCTCTTTCCCCCACAGCCAACTAGAAGAGGATGCCACAGTTGCTGGTCCAGACTCCAGCATCCAGCTCACATTTAGTCTCTTTGCTCTGTTTCATTTCTGCTCTTACACTGCTTTCCAAGGCGATTAACAGCGGGTGCCCCTGCCCCTCAAGGCATTGGTTGTGCCCCTTCCTGTGCTGCAGGGCCAAGCTGCCACCAGTGCCAGAGCCACAGCATCCCCCCAAGGTGGGTACAGGGGGCTGGAGAATGATTTCAACAGTGTCAGACCCATAAATCCTGTTCCCTTTTGCTCATGGGCATCCCGCAGCAGCCCGACAGGCACAGAGCTCACCCTGCTGAACGAGCCACTAATGCTTTCTTACACTGAATGAACATTAAAAGCAGCAAAACAACCTCCACCAGCTTCTTATCTGCCCCCCGTAGGTTGAAGCCCTGGTAGAGTGCAAGAATAGAGGGATTTGACTGGGGAGTGCTTGGCTTTGATTCATGTTCATATTCAGCTTGTGCCTCCAGGCTGGAGCGCAGCCTCAGCACTGGGAACAGTGGGCAGAGCTGGCCCTGGAGCCAGAGGGGCTTTTAATTCTTCTGACTAGAGCTGATAATTCCTTTATCAATGACTTTACAAGCTAATTATTTCCAATAAACTCCCTGGATAAGGACCCTCGTGGGCAGCTCAAGCAGAGCTGCGCCTGCACTGTCCTGGACTGTTTTAATCCCAATAAAAACCAATTCAAAGGCACTTTGACATCTGTACCTCCGCCCAGGGCTGTACACATTCCTTGCCCCATTCCTGGCCCAGCAGCTGGTCCATCTCAGTGCACACTGGGGTGCCCCTGCACCCCAGCATGGTCCCTTTAGGTGAGTCTCAGCACGGGTATGAGGGCAGCAGACAGAGCTCTCTGCCCTCACAGCAAAGCCTGGGAGGGAGGAAGCCAAGGGGCTCTAGGCCCTTTGGTCCTCATCTCCTAAACCCCATGGCTGGAAATGAAGAGAGGAACCAGGCCCAGCCCACACAAGATGCAGGGGAGCAGCAGGCTGGGTGGGTGATGTGCCAACCAGTAAGGAAAACCCCCATACAAACCAGTGCTAGAACACACAGTTCAAAGTTGAGGAGCAACAGCCCTTGTCCTCAGGAGCTGGCAGAAAGCAGTCACTCGTTCCCAGGGGATGAAGCGATGCCTACAAACCTGGATAGATGCTGGACTCTGCTCCTGTACCTGCCGCATCCTCAGGTGATGATGGCTGAGCCCATCACTGCCCGGCCCTGCTCCCCTCCCTCTCCCTGAACCAGCTGAAGCAAAACCTCCTGCTTTTCTTTATTTCTGTATTCCATAAAAAAACCCAACCACCCACATAAAACGACACCGTCTTGGCCAACTTGGCAACTCCAGGGACACAATAACCATCAGCGTTGGAATAAAAAGTAAATCCAAGAGCCCTCTTCCATAGTAGCAAAAAGGACAGCACAAATCACAGGAAGGGAGAGGAAAAGAACAGAAAAAGGGAAAAGTTTCTCTTAAAAATATAGCTCTGTGATGAGGAAGAGGTGGTGGGGGTCAACGAGGAGGAAAAAGTTTATGCAAGCTGGCTCTGCTCTGGTCAGTCTGCCTCCTTGGGTTCAGTTCTTGTGCAACACGTGAGCCATTGTGAGTGAGGGGCGATAACCAAGTCTCTGGGCCCCAGCAGGGCAGGAGGAGGCAGAAAGTTGCACTGCTCTGCTCTAACAGTCACAGTTAAAAGAAGTTATAAATTATTATTAAAACAAAAGAAAAAGGCTGGAATTCTCCTGATGAGCTTCCTTTTGCTCTCTGCCGTGTGATCTTCACCCATAAATCCTTAATCTCAGGGATGTGGTACCTTTGGGGAGAGGAGTTAAGAGTTAGGGATGGGGAGGAGGAGAACAGTCTTAGAGCTGAGCAGAGGGAGGCAGTCATCTGGTCCACTTCCAGGTGCCTACAACATCACCACATTACTTTGCCAAGCTCCCTGTGCTTAGCAGGACAGACAGACAGTGCCAGAGGCTGCTTATCTCTGCTGATGGCAGAGGACAGCAAGGTTCAGGCTGGAAATCCAGTTCTCAGCAGCTAAAGAGTTGAGGTCAAACACATCCTGAGAAGCCAGCACGCTGCTGTGGGACTTTCCTTATATCGCTGCGCTCTCTGACCCTCTGATCTAAGGCCAGGCTGACTCAGTGAGCATTCAGAGGGCACATGGTCTTCCCAAGCCTGGGCCAAGGCTACTGCTATTCAGGGGCACTGCCAGTCCCCACAGGCCATGCACCTTCTCGCAATCCTTCAGGCTCAGCTGTTTTCTTCTTTTAAAAGGAAAAGGGCATAAAATAAATCAGTGTCATCACACCACAAACATAAGGGACACAGCAAAGCCACAAGCCACGGAGCCTTCTTGGCTACCATCTCCACAGGGACGTATCCATTACAGAGAACATCCTATAGTTTCCCTCTGCACCCTTTCCTAGCCCTTGGGATGGAAGGCAGCAGCCTGCCAAGCTCAGAGGTCCAGTTTCTGCTGAGAACTAGATGAACAGAGTTGAAGAGCAGCACTTCTTCCTTGGGCAGATTCTCTGCCACCAGAATGGCCCCTGGGTTTGGCCCTTCCAGGGAAAGGGATCTTTCCTGAGGGAGCAACAGAGGAACAAGCCCTTCTTTCAGCCATCCCAATCCCAACCAGCTAAAGGTCATGGTGACTCAAGAACAGCCACAGCTAACTGCAGCCTCCTCTGCCCTGCCAGCCAGGCTGTTCCTCTGCAGCCTGGCATGCTATCATGCCAAGTGCAGTTCAGAACAGCTCTCCCTGTGGTACCACACATCAGGGTCTTGCACGTACCTTTTTTTTCTTCTTGTGAACCTCGGCAGAGCCATCTGCTGCAGCATCCCCTTCAGAAGGCACCTTTTTGCCCTTCTTCTTTTCCTTTCCAGTCTTTTTTTCTGTGAGAGAGAAAGAGAAGTCAATTATGAGAGGGACTCTGGTATTGTGAGCCTCCGAGATGGAGCAGAGTGGCAGGAGCATCCCCACTAAGGGTTTGATCAAACCTCGGCAAGCTTTACAGAGCAGGAACTGGGTGACAGCAGAGCCCTGGTATGGAGCAGCTCACCCAGGGCTGCTTCTCCTACAGAGCGGCCTCACAGTCACAGGCCGTGGTCATCGTGGGGGATTTTCACTTCCCTGATGCTTGCTGGAAGGACTGCTCAGCAACCCAGCCGCAGCGCTCGTGTATGGGTGATAACTTCCTCATGCAAAGGGTGGATGAGCCAACCAGGATCTCATCCTCACTAACAAGGAGGGTCTGGTTGAAGCAGTGAAGGTTGAAGGCTGCCTTGGTTGCAGCAACCACGAGATGGTGGAATTCAGGATCTTGTGTGGTAGGGTCAGTAGAATAACAAGTAGAATCGCAACCCTGGACTTTAGCAGGGCAAACTTTGGCCTCTTCAAGCGATTGCTAGGGGAAATCCAGTGGGCCAGGCTGCTTGAAGGGAAAGGGGCCCAAGATAGTTGGTTGACGTTCAAGGACTGCTTTTTCCGAGCTCAAGATCGGAGCATCCCGACACGTAGGAAGTCGAGGAAGAGGGTCAGGAGACCTGCGTGGCTAAATAGGGAATTGCTCGGTATGCTCAAGTGGAAGAGGAGAGTTTACAGGTCATGGAAGGAGGGGCTGGCCACTTGGGAGGAATATAAGGCTGCTGCTAGAGGATGTAGGAAAGCTGCTAGGATGGCTAAGGCCTCCTTGGAATTAAAGCTGGCGAGAGGGGTCAAGGACAGCAGAAAGAGCTTTTTCAAATACATGGCAGGTAAAACTAACACCAGAGGCAATGTAGGCCCGCTGATGAACGGGACGGGTGCCCTGGTGACAGAAGATACAGAGATGGCAGAGTTACTGAATGCCTTCTTTGTCTCTGTCTACTCTGCCGGAGGCAGTCCTGAAGAGCCCTGTACCGCTGAGACCCCGGATGAAGATAGGTCAACGGAGCGGTCTGCCTTAGTCGATGAGGAATGGGTTAAAGACCAGTTGAGCAATCTGGACATCCATAAATCCATGGGTCCAGATGGGATGCACCCGCGGGTGCTGAGGGAACTGGCTGAGGTCATTGCTAGACCGCTCTCCATCATCTTTACCAAGTCTTGGGAAACGGGAGAGGTGCCTGAGGACTGGAGGAAAGCAAATGTCACTCCTGTCTTCAAAAAGGGCAAGAAGGAGGACCCGGGTAACTATAGACCGGTTAGCCTCACCTCCGTTCCTGGGAAAGTGATGGAACACCTTATCCTTGGTGCCATCTTAAGGCATATCAAGGATAAGAGGGTTATGAGGGGCAGTCAACATGGCTTCACCAAGGGGAAGTCGTGCTTGACCAATCTCGTAGCCTTTTATGAGGAAATAACACGGTGGATGGATGATGGTAGAGCGGTGGATGTGGTCTACCTTGACTTCAGCAAAGCGTTTGACACGGTCTCCCACAGCATCCTTGCGGCTAAATTGAGGAAGTGTGGTCTGGATGATCGGGTAGTGAGGTGGACTGTGAACTGGCTGAAGGAGAGAAGCCAGAGAGTTGTAGTCTATGGGGCGGAGTCTAGTTGGAGGCCTGTATCTAGTGGAGTGCCTCAAGGGTCGGTACTGGGACCAGTATTATTTACTATATTCATCAATGATTTAGATGAGGGAATTGAGTGTACTATCAGCAAGTTTGCTGATGACACTAAGCTGGGAGGGGTGGCCGACACGCCAGAAGGCTGTGCTGCCATCCAGAGAGACCTGGACAGGCTGGAGAGCTGGGCGGGGAATAACTTGATGAAATATAACAAGGGAAAGTGTAGAGTCCTGCATCTGGGCAGGAACAACCCCAGGTTCCAGTATAGGCTGGGGAACGACCTGTTAGAGAGCAGTGTAGGGGAGAGGGACCTGGGGGTCCTGGTGGACGACAGGGTGACCATGAGCCGACACTGTGCCCTTGTGGCCAAGAAGGCCAATGGCATCCTGGGGTGTATTAGAAGGGGGGTGGTTAGTAGGTCGAGAGAGGTCCTCCTTCCCCTCTACTCAGCCCTGGTGAGACCTCATCTGGAATATTGTGTCCAGTTCTGGGCCCCTCAGTTTAAGAAGGACAGGGACCTGCTGGAGAGAGTCCAGCGCAGGGCAACTAAGATGATGAAGGGAGTGGAGCATCTCCCTTATGAGGAAAGACTGAGGGAGCTGGGTCTCTATAGTTTGGAGAAGAGATTGAGGGGTGACCTTATTAGTGTATATAAATATATAAAGGGGGAGTGTCACGAGGATGGAGCCAGGCTCTTCTCAGTGGCAAACAATGAAAGGACAAGGGGTAATGGGTACAAACTGGAACACAAGAGGTTCCACTTAAACTTGAGAAGAAACTTCTTCTCAGTGAGGGTGACGGAACACTGGAACAGGCTGCCCAGGGAGGTTGTGGAGTCTCCTTCTCTGGAGACATTCAAAACCCGCCTGGACACGTTCCTGTGTAACCTTATCTAGGTGTTCCTGCTCTGGCAGGGGGATTGGACTAGATGATCTTTTGAGGTCCCTTCCAATCTCTAACATACTGTGATACCTCTGGCCCAGAGTGGTTTGATCCCACCATCCATGCACATGTGTGCACAGAATGACACAGGATTCCATTCCTTCCACCTCCTGCTGCCCACCCCCTCTGAGTAACTGCTTCAGTGCTGGAGCAGCTGGACCAGAAATCAGAGCAAGGGAAGCTGCTAGCACCAGATGGACACAAAGTTCAGCTCAGCACAACCGCTCCAAGAGGCCTCAGCTCACCTGGGGCAACAGCCCACACAAAAGCTGATGGACAATGGGACTCCTCCAAAGGGCTGCAGCTCTGTGGAACAGAAACCCCAGCAGATCTGGCCCACCCGTTCTATCTCTTTGCCTTTTAAAGCCTACAAGATCCAACAACGAACCAGCTCTGGTTTGCAAATGCACTCTGCACTGCAAAGAAAACTGCCTTTGCATTAGGGCAGCAAACTATTACAGAGCACATGCAGGCAAGAGGGGCAGGAAATACTCTTAACTGGGAGCAGCGAGCAGGAGGATGGAACAATCCACCTCTTTCTCCAGGGATCTGAAAGCAGCAGTAATGGCCCTGAGTCAAATCTCTCGACTGAGCTTCTCACCACGTTGCAGCACACAGAGTGCTCAGGCAGGGCCAGGAAGGGGCACTGTTACCCCGCAGGGAACAGCAGTGGATGACACAGCAGATAACAGCATGGATTTCAAGGCTGATGGTTTAAAGAGGCTGGCAGCAAGGGGCTGTGTTCAGAAGCTCTGACTAACACGAAGCCCTGCACACATGAACACTGGGCTGCCTCTGCCATGCTCACAGCGTGGCAGGGACCTTCTGCCTGTCATCCCCAGCCACGCTGCACCTTAGCTCTCTGTTAGTGTGTGGTGTTTGCCAGAGAGGAGCCAGGGCAGGGAGCTGGGTTAGCAGAGCTGTTCTTCATTGCAGACACAGAGCAAGGCACCACAAAGAGTGCAGTGGGCAGAACACAGCCCTTGTGGCTTACAACCAGCAACACCTCTCCCAGAACAGAGGTAGGAAAGCCCAGCTTGCTGTCTACGACACAACCTGGTGCTAAGCCTGCAGAAAAACACTGAAGTGAGGTGTTAAAACCTGGCATTGCCTTTAGATAGGCCAAGAGTGGCTGGAAAGCTGCCCACTGTAAAGTGACCTAGGGGTGCTGGCTGACAGCAGGCTGAGTACGAGCCAGCTTGTGGCCAAGAAGGCCAACAGCATCGTGGCTTGTATCAGCAATAGCGTGGCCAGCAGAGCCAGGGCAGTGATCATCCCCCTGTGCTGGGCACTGGTGAGGCTGCACCTTGAATCCTGTGTTTATTTCTGGGCCCCTCACTGCAAGAGATATTGAGGTGCTGGAGCGGGGTCAGAGAAGGGAACAGAGCTGGTGCAGGGCCTGGAGCACAAGGGTGATGGGGAGGGTGTGAACGGCTGAGGGACCTGAGGGGTTCAGTCTGGAGATGAGAAGGCTCAGGGGGACCTTCTCATTCCCTCCAACTGCCTGACAGGAGGCTGTAATGAGGTGCATGTAGGTCTCTTATCCCAGGTAACAAGCAATAGGACAAGTGGAAATGACCCCCCTCAACCAGGGGAGGTTTACACTGGATATTAGGACAAATAACAATGTGTAGATATGGCACTTGGGGACATGGTTTAGTGCTGGACTTGGCAGTGCTGGGTTCACAGTTGGACTTGATGATCTTAAAGGTCTTTTCCAACCTAAACAATTTTATGATTCTAGAAGGGAAGTAGGCAAGCAGGAAGCTAATGGGAAAGTGGGTGCTCTTGCACAGATGCAAGAACCTATTGCAAATGCAGCCCCAGATGCTTACTTTTAGCTCCTTTTTTCTTTTCCTTGCTGCCTGGCAGCTTCCCCAGCTCACCAGCTACTTTCTTCTTTTTCTTTTTGGCTACTTCTTCATTAGCTTGCACTTTCTGCTTCTTCTCCTTGGGCTGCCCCACAGCCCCATCCTCTTCTGGATGTTTCCGCTTGTGAGATGCTTTCTGTTTCTTGTTCTCTTTGCTCTTTGCTGGTTTCGCAGCCTTGTTTGCTGTGGAGGAAGACTTCTTCTTCTCCTTCTTTTCTTTTTTATCCTTTTTCTTCTTCTTCTTCCCTTCCAGCCCTTCCACTGGGTTTTGCACTGAAGGAACTTTGGCCCCAGTAATCCCGGTTTCAATCCCCAAGTTTGACTCCTTTGACTGTGGGATGGATGCTGGGGTCATTTGTGCACCTTTTGCCCCAACATCATTCTCTTTTACAGGCAGGACTTTCTTGGCTGGGGAAGGCTTGAGGCTGGCATGATCTGGCTCCATTTTTCTTGCCACTGTCTCTGTGTTGGAGGCTCCTGGGGCTTCCTGCCCTGGAGGAGGACGGTTGTTCTCTGCAGAAACATCGACAATAGAGAGAAGGCAACTCAGGGAGCATTCTTCCCATAGACCACAGGGTTATTGGAGGATGGAAGCATGCATGTGAAGAGGAGCATCTGGCCCTCCCCCTCACAAGCAGATCCTGCTATAGCAGGGTCAGGAAAAGGCGTATCAGCCTGAAATTGAATATCTGGTGAGGGAAGTGGGTGACAACAGCTGCCAACAGCTTTGACTGTTGGACCTTTCATAGAAGCCATCACTACCACAGCACACCAATGCAGTGTGTATCACTTTCAGGGAGAGCCCTACTCGCTCCCGTTAACTGCATTAATTACTGCAGTTAAAGCAGAACTGGGAGAGGCCAAGGCACACAGCAGAGAGCCCTGCAAAAGGGGCACTCGAGGCAGAGAGGGCTGTGCTGTGGCCAGGGGAAGCCAGCAGACGGCAGCAGCGCTCCACACTGCTGGGCTCTGCAGTGGAGACATGCTGGGAGCAGGGCCCTGTCCCAGTGTCACCCTCCTGCGCCAGCACCACTTTGCTCCTCAGCCAGGCAGAGTCCAGCCCTTGCCAAAGGACACCCACCTGCTTTGTGGTTCGTAGCCACCTGGTCCACGTCTGTGTCAGAGTCACTGCTGTCACTGCTAGAGCTGCTGGCTGGGGCTGCTTTCACAGGGGCCCTGGTGTGGGTGCTGGCAGCAGTCACGGCTGCTTTTCCTTGCCCTGCTTTGCCCACAGGCTGGAGGGGAATAGTCTTTGGTGTCTGTGGTGTCGCTGGGGTCCTGGAGGGGCCCGAATAGCCTGTGAGGAGGGACTGAAACAGCACAGACACACTGAAGAGTCACATCCTACACACCAGACATTCAGACCTCTCCCTGCTGCTGATGCTCCCATGCTCCAAGCGAAGAGCCCACCTTCGGCCACCCGCAGAGAGACCTTGCACTGCTCAGTCAACACTGCACAGAGGCCAGGGCTGCCACGAGAGGGGCCAGCACTGACAGACACTGCCTGAGCTGCCAAGCAGCAAGAGCTGATGGCCAGAGGTTCTCCTCTTTGTTCTTGCCTAGTAAATGAGGCTTGAGGGAGGCTCCTGGCCATTAGCATGCACCCATGCACAGCTAATGCACTGCAGATGTGCTGCACGCCCCGCACGTTACTTACAAAGGGAATTTAATGGCTTGGACACGGGTTAAGTTACAAATAAATGTGGAGAAAGAAATCCTGCTGCTATTGGCACTGTGCACCAGTTCTCCTGGATTAACCCTTGCAAGGCACCACCTTCTCCCATGCTCTTCCCCCAGGAAAGGCACCGTGAGCCCAGAGCCAAGATCCTGCAGCCTGGGGAAGCATTCCAGGTTCAGAAGCCTCTCTGCACTCACCAAAAGGGCCCTGCTTACAGCACTGCACTGGGGAGCCACCGTATCAGTGCTGGGAAACCCACCCAGCACCCTGTTTGCTATGGCTCAGAATTCAAACCTCTCTCTGTGCTTCTTAGGATCCAGTTGCAAGACCTGAAAGGATCCCATTCTGCTCAACTACCATACCTGTGATGCTGCTGCCGCCTCCTCCTCCTCCTCCTCCTCCTCCTCCTCCTCACTGGACTCCGAGGAGGAGCTGTGGGCTGTCTGGGTCCCCCCCGGTTTCTGCAGCAAGCCTGCTGAAGGAGCAGAGTTCATCCCATTAAACCCAGCACCGCTGCCTGGGGCTGAGCTCACGTCCCCACCACAGTTACTGCCACCAAAAGGCCTTCTGCCTCCAAAGCAAGCAGTGTCTTACAAAGCTGGAGAGGAAGAACTGCTCTCCAAGCACTATGTGAAGGTGACACAACACCTCCCACAGGGTAACAAAACACTGTCCCCACCCTGGCCTGGCCTGGCCAGCAGCACTGAGAGCATCTTCTTGGGAGAACTGACCAGGCTTGGGGGGTTGCTTGGGTGCCTCCTCATCGCTGCTGTCTGAGGAACTGCTGTCCGTGGACTCCTCTTCCTGGGTGGGTTGCACAGCCTGGTTGAGGTGGGTGGGCTGTGCTGGCTTCAGGCCTGGCTTGCTCGACTTGACCGTGGGGCTTCCCAGGAGCGGAGCAGCCTGTGGTGTGGCAGCACTGGCTGGGGGAGCTTTCCCCACCGGAACCGTTTGCTTTATGCTAGAAGCAATGGGGACCTGGAGAGAGGAAGATGAAATGCATCTGGAAGGAGGAATAACCCCTCATGCCCATCAACTATAAGAACAAGCCCATCTCCTCTGGGCTGTGATCACCTCAGCCCTTCTTCAGCAATAGTGCTTCAGTCTGTGTCAAGGTCAGCCCAAGAATCTCTCATCCAGGGCACAGACTCTCCATCTCCCCTGGCCCACAAATGAAGCAGGCAGCTGTAGCAAAGCAGACAACTCCTGACTGTACAGAGCACTGCTATCAGAAAAGAAGGAAGAAACCAACCAGCCAGCTGGGAGGCAGGAACACAAAAGGTACCAGGGTGACCCTCTGCTCATCTGCCTTACCTTATGGTGTGATAACAGTGGTTAAACCGGGGCACCTCCCTTCCCCACACCCCACAAACCCACACCAGCCTCAGACTGAAGCAGAAGCTCCCCACTTCAGTCTCCTCTGTCATTACCTTTTGTGCTACCACCTCTTCATCTGAGGAATCGCTACATGAGCTGATGGACACTCTGATACCCGGAGGGGCAGGAGGTGCTTCTGTCCCCTTCTCTTGCGGCAGCGTGGCATTAGCTTTAGCAGCCACTGGACTCGAAACCTTGGCTGCTTTGACGTTCTGCTGGGGCAGAATCTAAAATAGGTGAGAAAGAAAATCAGGACAGAGCACAGCTTGCAGGGGAAAAGAGACAGAAGAGACCAATCCACCACTAACTCCTGAGCCCTTCCATCAGTTTCAGCACAGCACCAAGGCTGCCGCATTAGCTCAGTGCCCCAAAGACACTCATCCTGAGGGCAGGCAGGCAGGCAAAACATGACGTGATCCCTACCCACTGCAACACCAGCAGGACTGCTTTTGTAAACCCTACTTTGCAAAGTGGCCACTTGGACTCCAGGATGTTTCCTACACTCTAGAAATCACACACTGAGAGTTAACTGGCAACAGAGGCAAAGACACCAACCACAAGGCAAATCTGCTTTCAGGTCCACAAGCAAGTCACAGATTGCACAAAGCACATTAACAAGAAGCAATTTTGTTGCCTCCCATTTGAAACCTCCACACTAAATGTAAGAGGGATTAAAAATAGAAGAGCCAGGGGCATGGAAATCAGACACTGACATCAAGTCCAAGACACAAATGCCAGCAGAGGAGGGAGTAGGAGCGATGAAGGAGTGCTCAGCCTCCTGGTTTGTGCTACGAGCAAGGCTACGTGAGCAGCCCTCCCTCCTCCCCGCTCCCTGACAAGCTGGGCCTTTGTGGGCTGACATTTCCCTCACACAACATCTGGCCTTCAGCAGGGAAGGCAATGCTCTGCCGTGCCCAGAGCCGTCACTGCGACGTGAGCTCACAGCGGTCCTGCACACAGCTCCAGTTACAGCAACTGCATTACTTTATACAGGCTTCGCCCTATAAACAGGCTTTAATCAAGCAGTGCTCAGGGAGGCTGGCTGCCTGCCCAGCAGCCCTTCCCCTGGCCACAGCATCAGGCAAACACAGGGAAGTTTCCTGGAGTGCATCTCTCAGCAAGGGTGCTGGGCAGGCAGGGAACACACGTGCAGGACAGGAAGAGCACTTGGACACTAAGCCCTGGGCTCAGAGCAGCAGCCAAGCCACCACCACAGAGGAACGTAGCCATGTTCCTCAGTCAGTGTTTCTTTGCATGGTTTCTTCCTCAGGCTCAAACTGCAGCAGAAGTGCAGAGAGACCCAAGACAGCTTCACAGTGAGGCACCTCAGCCACTGCTCTGCAGACTGGCATGGAGACACAAAAAGATGTGACACGAAGAGATGCAGGTGAGAGAGCTGGGACTGGCTCCACGACACATAGCAGTGCCCTCAGCACAGATAAGGGGTAATCTCCCTTCTCCAAGGCAGAAGTCTGGCTCCTCCAGCTGAAAGGCAGCAGGGTCGCTGTGATACTGCTACAGGGAAGATCCTTCCAGCCTCCCTAGTGCTGTAGAGGGGGAGTCCAGAGAGCTCCAGCCACACCACACAACCAAGGGACTGGGAGGAACCAGAGGGAAGGTTGCCTTGGCACTACCCAGCTCATGAGAAGACTCTGCCTGCAAGGATTTGGCTGCTTTTCCGACCTAACTCCCTAGCACAGGGCAAAGGGGACAGAGTCCCAGAGGAGGCCTGGCCTCATGAATCTACTCATGGTCCTGCCCAAACATTCACACCCTCCACTGCTCCCTCATCCTGTGAGCATGCTGCAGTCGAGACACGTGCCCAGAGCCAGGTCACTGAGACCCAGAGATGCCACCAAGGAAAACTGATCCAGCCAGTGGGAAGGTTCCTCTCTATGCCTCTCATTACTCACCAGCTACCACCTCGTGAGTTCAGAGACCCACACACAAGGGGTCAGCAACTCCTTACCTGAGAAGGGGGCACTATTTCCTCCTCTGAATCTGACTCTTCGCTGGAATCATCGCTGATCTCCACAGGAGGACGGGCTGGGGCTGGGGCTGCTGCTGGAGCTGGTGCCTTCTTTACACTTGCTGGCTGTGGCACAGCATTGGTTTTCACTGCAAGGAAAGCATAAAAGATTGTCACCATCAGAAAGAGCTGTTCTCCATGGCTGACCAGAGCAGGAGCTATCACACCAAGCTGGGCCATTCCACATGCAGGGGACAAAAGGAAACCCATGAGGATGCAGGTGAGGCATCCCAGGCACTACCAGGGACTCACCAGATTGCAGAGGCTGTGTTCGTGCTGCAGGGGCCTCCTCTTCACTGTCAGAAGTGTCACTGCTCTCACTTTCTGAGGTCTGGTTTTTCAAGGTGCTTCCCGCTGCTTTAGGAGCCTGGCTCAGGTTGGGAGCAGGCCCAGGCTGTTCTGTTAACCTCTTAACAAAAAAGAGACACGGGCCCAGAAATGGGGAATTAGTGCAGGTTATTATCCAGGAGTTTAAATGCGGTTTCAGCTCAAGTTGGGTTTTGTTTTACTCTTAACACAGCTGTTACTAACTCCATCCCTGGCCTGTCAAGATTGGAAGGGGCTTCAGGCAGCTGCTGAAGACACATACCTCCTCCTTTAGCAATATGCTTTTGAACAGGAAGCCCAAGTGTGTTTTATCTCACAAGCACACAGTGTTCATAACACCAGTTCCTTACTGAGGCTGAGACACTGAACAGGAGCCTGAGGGCCGGAAAAGCACTGCAACCCCAAGATCATCATTTAAGCATGACCTTCCCCCAGCTTGGAGAATCAGTGAGAGCTGGGGAGTCTTGTGCTAAATTGCTTGCAAGATTCAGAGGTAGGATGAGAGAAGCTCCATTCTAGAGCTGCTGGAGAGCTCAGCATAGACACAGGGGTGACAAGCACTTGGGAACACAGAGGGCAGGCAGAGACAGACCAGTATCCACCCTGGAAACCGATCTGTCAACAGGTCTAAAACTGGAGACCTCTCCAGACAACAGCACTCTGCAACTCACTTGGGCTGTACCTTTCTATAGCTCCCATCAACACTGTGATGTCCCAGAACAGGCCACGAGCCAGTGCCTCAAGCAGTGTGTCAGTGCTGGGAAGCCACGACCATCAAAGCACAAGATACACAACTGCCAGGTGAGAAGATCTGTTCCCAGCTCCTCCTTTGGCTTGGCCCAAAGGCTGCAGGCACCCCCTCCTGCACACTGCTGAGGGCTGGTGGTGGCAGAGGGATCTGGGAACTTCACCACTGCTGATATTCAAGCAGTGCTCTGCACCCACTCAGTTTACTCCACTCATGGCTCATCTCCGGGCTGCTCTGCCAAAGAGTACACCATGCTTGCCAGGGCAGGCAGACCCCATCCAACCCACACATGATGGCAGCTTGCTCCAGTGCTCCATCTCCAGCCACGACACTCCTGCAAGGTGAGAGACTCCTGCCTGTCTGCATGGCCCGTGCCACCCCCTCTCCCAACCCAGCCATACCCTCTCAGCCCACAGCAGAGGTCCAGGAGCACTTCAGCAGTGCCAGCTCAGCCAGGGGCTGCTCCTGGCTGGTATCTGAGAGCATCAGCCAAGCAGCTTCCTGGGAGGACAGATCTTCCTGTGCTTCCTGGCACAGCCCTACCGAGGGCTGCCACTGGGGCAGTGTTTATCATCTCCAAGCCAAACACTAAACAGACAACAGCATCTGCATGTTTATCCCATTACAGAACAGCTCTCTGAACAAGCCAAGCGCATTTTGACTCTGCTTAGAGAAACAAAAACCTCCACCAGCACTTTGGAGGGGGGGACTGCAAACCTCACTTGTCTGTTTTGTTTTGGTACCAGTGAGTCACTAGCTCCAGGAGAGAGGCCAGATTTGCAGTGCTGAAGAGAGAGAACTACTTGAAGCAGACATGAGGATCCACACGCTCAAGCTTCCCTCCCTCTCGTCCCAAGCACAAGGGAGAAGTGTACAGAGATCAGAGCCCACTCACTCACTTTTAAGACCTTCGTAGCAATGGGATTGACTTCTCCCTCTACCTGGATGCAAAGCACAAGGGCTGCTTCATTTCCTAGCTTAGCAAGAGATTGGGAAAGAGCTGCTGTGCAGAAGCATCCTGACACAGAAAGAACACAGCGGCATCCACAGAGAAACCACCATGGGCTTTACACAGCCTTGGGACTCCTCAGATATTTCGGGGGGAGGCCAAGGTCCCTCCATCCACCTCAGCCTGCTCACTGCTGGATGGCTGACAGCTGTCACATCCTATGGCATGGCCCCAGGTGGGATCAGGCCAGTGTTCTGCTGACAGACATCAGCAAAACCACCACACACTCACCGTGTAACACGCGCAGTTTAACAGACAAGCACACTAAAGCAGGCAAGCACACTAAAGCGAATCAAGTATCTATCTCTCTATATGTAGCGAATAAGGACAATAAAGCAAATCAGAGAGATGTAAGTAAAGCACAGAGGAAAACTAGCAATGCATTAAATCATTCCTGCATAGAAACAACAGAGATTAAGGAGGAACACATCACCAGTTCCCACCAAATCATCACTCAGGCCCACACTTCAAGCTGGGAAGCCCTGCTGCAGCTGATGCCAAGAGTCTCAGGTAACTGGGAAAATTCCCACACATGCATCCACCCATAGGTGAGGCTCTAGATTTGGCTACAAGAGGATCCTGCTTTTATACCCTTAGAAAACAACAGTCAGCTTTATGGAAGCTCATTTACTCGTGGGGGTGTCCAGTTTCTCATTATCTCCCTGTTGTCAAGTGCAAAGGTCAGAAGACAACTGCACCCTTATGTTTTCCTGCCTCTTTCCATAAACATATATACTCTACTGAACACACTGACAAAAACATACTCTGTTTTGTCTCTCAGTCATGAACGGGAATCAGCTCCCACCTAGGTTCCCATCCATTACAGCCAGCGGCATGGCTGAGTTCACAGAATTTGTGTTGGAAGGGACCTTAAAGCTCATCCAGTTCCAAACCCCTGCTCAGGCAGGGACCCCTTCCACTGGAGCAGCTTGCTCCAAGCTCCTGTGTCCAACCTGGCCTTGAGCACTGCCAGGGATGGGGCAGCCACAGCTTCTCTGGGCACCCTGTGCCAGCGCCTCAGCACCCTCACAGGGAAGAGCTTCTTCCTTATACCCCACCTAAATCTCCTGTTTAAGTCTGAGCCCAGGGAGCAGATAACACAGGCAGACAACTTCAGAGCCACAGGTACTGAAGTAACTCAGGGAGAAGGAAAGTCATGAGGAAATCATTTTTCCTGCTCCCTCTCCAGCCCCCTGAGCTGCCTGTGGCTCAGTGCAGTGACTCAGCGCCCGCACAACCCATCTGCCACTCCACTGGGTCCATTTGCATCATGCAGTGCTGCATGACAAGAGGGGAAACAACACTGAGCCACGTGCGCTGAGCATGCTGTAACAATCACACTCCACTGCTGCCCGTGCACCACCAGGGTACCAGCACCAGGACACAGCAGAGGTACAACTGTTATCTGCATAGGAGCAAGGACAGGGCTCAGGAAGGGAAAGAGCTTCTCCATCTGGTGGGAGATTTGGCCTGTGGTCCAAGAGAAAGACTTGCAGGCACAGCTGCCACCCGTGCAGCCTGCACAGGTTTTCCTGGGATGCTAAAGAAAGACAGGTTCCAAACACACATGTGCATCTCATGCCCAGTCCTGGTAAGCAGAAGCTGAAGCCTGTCCATAGAGGATTTGAGTGCCATCTTTGATCCAAAACATCCAGGAAAGAGGAAGCAGAGCAGAATTAACAGTTCCAAAAGAAAAGGAGCTCACAGCATCTTTAAGATCAATATAGACTGTGCCCCATCACCATCCTTCCCCATCCCCAAATAAGCAAACACCTTGTCAACTTCTTTGACTAAATATTCCTGAATCTTCAGGGGTAAACATACCAATTAAGCAGTTCAATTTAAGCATGATGTTCATTTTAATTGTGCTAATCCACCCCCACAGGGAAAGATGAAGCAGCTTCCAACGCTCTGTATCTGTTTGGATCTTGCACAGAAGCCAGAGGAAGTTGCAGGATACAGTAAGTCAGTGGTTAGCATATGCCCAAGTAGCAGATGGTGAGGATGAGCTAAGAAGAGTTTGACTAGGAGGACAGGACTGTGGACACAGCTAAGCCTAATGGTTTATCTTCAGGCTTCACTCGTGGTCTCTGCCTGTAGGCTACTTATATGTGAAGAAACAGCCTGTTTGGCAAAAATAGAGCTTCCTCGATGACAAGCTCTTCCTTGCTGACTGTGGCTGTTGAGAGGTAATCACCAGCCTGCAAGAGGGAAGATGCTGAAGTGGTTAAATAACCATTGGAGAGACAGCTACCTGCTGCTGCCAGCTTCCAATCAACACCTGGAAGAAACAAACCTATCCCAGCACATCCTTCACCTAGGACTCTAACGTGGATGAGTCTTGGTAGTCTTGCAGCAGGACCCCATGGCACAGCTATCAGAATAGCTGCTCCTGCCACCCAGAACTGAATCTTCACATAGAATCACGCAGGAAGAGAGCAGCATAGAGCCAACTGTTAAGAGTTCCATCCCCCTCCACCCACCTTAGCAGACCAAGGCTATGAAGACAAAAATGCAGAGCCTCTCTGACTTCTGCCTGTCAATAGTGAAAGGATGTGGTGACAAAGAGCCTCCTTGCTAGGACACGTGAGCCTCTGCCCCCGGCTTCCCTTCCTCCCTTGCAGATAATAGCTGCCATCTCCAAAATGCTGCTCTCAGGGCAGTTTCTGCAGGGCCCTGCAGCTCAAGAGTCAATGCAGAACGTCTCTGTACAACATGCCTGAGGGTGCTCCCAGAAAGGGATTTGCTTCTCTGTAAGTTCAGCCACCTGAGTCCAGACTAAGTTCATGGTCCTCTCAAGAGAGGTCCTAAACAAGTCCTCACAGAAGAGCCAAGACCAAGCTGTCTGTGACCCCACACACAAGGGTTACAGAGGGGCATTCTGAGGGGCAAAGCATGAGTGAAACAGTTGGTATCAAAAAGGTTACCCCCCTCCTCTAGGTTTCCAAGTACAAAGAAAGATCGTCCTCTCCAAGGGACACAGATACAACATGCTGCTGGTGTTTCAAGGAGATCAGTAGCATCATTTTAAGGGATAAACGATTTTTTTGCATATCCCATCCCTTGGCACTGAGTTGAACACATTATTACCTACCTTCTGGCTGACAGGCACAGGATGATCCTCCTCTTCACTGCTTGAGGAGTCAGAGCTCTCCACTGGCTTTGCACTTTCAGCAGGCTTTGTGGGAGCAGCAGTCCTTCCCGGTGTGGTTTTGGCCTGCTGTGGCACTGCTGGCTTTGGTGTTGGCTTCGCTGTTGGCTTCCCCTGGGAGACGGGAAGTGTTTTTGCTGGAGCTGCTTTGCCGGAGAGTGATGCTGCTGGTGTAGGTTTCATTGGGGACGGGACTGCTTGGGAGGATTTTGGAGGTGGCTTTGTCTGGACAAGACAAGAACAGTGAGAGAAGGCAAATATCACAGCAGCATAATTCATTTTGCTCACACTGTAATCAAGGGAAGAGATTTCAGAGCCCCCTGGGATAGGTGAATGTTAAAGGAAGATTAGCAACTGGCAGGACACAAGGCATCCTTTTATCTAGCTGTGTGGAGATGGTCTCCCAAGATGGGAAAGCAAGAGCAGGAATTCTCCATCAGCCTGTGATACTACCAGTCCCCTCCAGTGAGGTGCATTGCGGCACACTGCACTCTTCACAGTGGGGAAGCTGAGCTGTGCTTCAGTTTGACAAATTAGACACTATTTATTGCAATTTACAGCTGGGAGGCAAATTCAGCCACGACAATTTGCCTCTTCAGGTGGCAAAAGAATTGCTGTGGCTTTTTTATTTAAAAGTACTGATGAATTTCTTTTTTGTTATTATTTTTAAGAAGGGAACAATGGCTTGAATAGAACTCGGAGCAAAGACATCAAGGTGCCTTTAAACATCCCCTGCCTCTTGCCTCCCACCCCAATATGACCTTGCTACACATCACATGCATTTACAATTCCTTTTCACTGCAATTCCTGGCCCTGGAGGGGCATGCAAAGAGAGACAAAAGTTCAGACTGACGCACCTGGGTTACTGATGGAAGTTCCTCATCTTCACTGTCTGATGAGTCGCTGCTCTCTGATGTGTCATCGGGCTTTGCAGCCCCAGAAACCGTTGTAGGAACCGTTGTGGGTGCAGGTTTGGCCTGGGTTGGTGCCACTGCTGTCTGCCTCACTGCATTCGTCTTGACAGATGCTGGAGTAGCTGGTACACTTTTCACAGGCCCTGTATTAACCGGCACTGTTTTCACAGCTGGTTTTGCCTGGGGACAGGGGGAACAAAAGGGAATCAGCCAGTTAACATCTCAGAAGAAACCCATTGAGAGCTGTAACTGCATGGAATTTGCTTTAAAGAAGGCTACCTCGGTAATTTGACCAGGACAGGCTTGTTCAGATCCACAGCCTGGGGTGTGTTTGAAGCAAACCACTTTCTCCATGGGTTGCCTCATTATATCTGTGGAGTTGCACACCAGTCACCTCCTACAGACCAAACGATCACCCTCAACTTCAGGCACTGAGACGAACAGTGACAGAATGGTTGATGCTGGCAGGGGTTAGTGGGACTCTCAGCCACACAGCATGTTTCTTTGGCTTTGGAGATTTCACACACCCAGGGAAGAGGGTGTTGTCAGAATACAGCACTGCAGCACTTCCTCTCTACTTCAAGGGAAGGGAAGCGATTTCCTGGAGACAAGGAACCTGGCCTGGAGAGGTTACCTGGACCACTGGAGCTGCAACCTCCTCCTCGGAGGATGTCTCATCACTTGATTCCTCACTGCTGCTCTCAGAAGCCCCAGCTGCCTGCTTTGCCTCTGAAACACAAGGAAGGAGATGTCACAGCTGCTGCCTGCTCTGAGCTCCCCAAGCGTGATGCTAATGTGGCTTTTGAAGTCAGGAAAACAAAACATGACACAGAGAGAACGAAGGGGATTTGCAGGGAAGAGGGCCTAGCCCTGCTGAAAGCATCAGTGGCCTGCTGGGAACAGCTTCTCTAGCCAAACACTGGCCCACAGACACCTCCCCCCAGTGCAGGCAAAGATGGGAAATCCTTCCTGGCCACCCTCTGACCCTACAGGAGCTGCCTAGCCACACACAGCTCCCTGCAGAGGTACCTAGCATGGCTGGAGCTCCTCTGGAAAAGAGCCAAGGGAAGGACCATTTTCAGAGCTTCTCCCAACACACACACACTTCAAAGCAGTAAGATTTCCCTAAAGACCTCAAAACCAAAAAGCAATCACTTTACAAGTGGGAATATAAAGAGAAGATGCTGCAGTGCCCTCCAAAAAGCTCAAAGCATCTGCAGTGTTAGTACTGCATCTCCTCCAGATATGCTATGCTTTTATCTCCAACTCCATAGTGCTGGGTGCTGCCAGACAGACATCTCAGCACAGAATCTGCTGCTTGAAATGGTAGCAGGCATGCTGGCTTCATCCCACAGAGCTCTGGAGCTGGCTCTTCTGCAGTATTCTCACAGCCTCCCCTAGGAGCAAGCATCGCTCTGAGCTTTCCAGCACGGGAGCTGAAAGGCACAAGCTGAAAGCACAGCTCAGGTCTGATTCCATGCTGGAGCTGGAGCTGGAGCACACATGCATCGACCACACTCTGCTGGCTCCTTACCCACTCTGGGAGCTGGGCCCTTTGCAGCCGGTGTCTCTTGTTCCTCATCACTCTCTGACGAGGAGCTGCTGCTGGAGCTTTCTGGTGCTTTGGTCGATACCAGTGCTTTGCTTTGACCTACTCTGGTCGTGGCTGTTGTGGCATGTCCAGGCTTCCCAGGACCAAGCGGTTTCTGCCCAGCTTTGGCTGGAGATGCAGCTGGTGCACTGGGAGGCTGCTTGTTTGAGACCACAGTTCTGTTTGCAGCAGAGGGCACGGCTGCTTTGCCTGCCGGGGCAGTGGGTACTTTTGGAGAGTGCAAGGAGTTGGTGGCAGCTTTGCCACTCACCAGAGCTGGTGGCACCTACAGGGAACAAAAGAAATTAGAAGCCTGTAAACAGATGAGGGGCTAAGCTGGACGTAACATACCTTAAAGAACAACCTGGCAGCCAGGCAAGCCATAGAGCTCTTTAGGGAAGCACCTGGGGGACAGATCTAATAGGCGGCTTATGCCAGCATAGGAGGGTCATTTAGATATGAATTCCAGCCCACAGTTCTACACATCCTAATGAGCCTGGGACAGTCCTGACCCCAGAGTCCTATCAGCCTTCAAAGCCAAGAGAACTGCCTTACCGCAGCTGCACCTTTTCCAGTTGGTGTCTCCTCTTCTGATGAGGAGTCATCCTCTTCACTGCTTTCTACATTCGCTCCCGAGTTGCTGGCCAGGGGAAGGCCGACTGCTGAATAGGAGAGAGCCACAGAGACATCCTGTGAGTGCACCCCTCGCATCAGGACAGCCTCTGGTTCGCAGGGAGGGCAGGGTCCCATCTCCACATCTGCCCCAACACCATCACCACCGTCCTTGCAACAGGCAAGTGTTTCTCTCCTCCACCCCATCCTTCCCACCACCAAGACAAGGAACCTGCCCAGATCTGAATGTTCCCAAGGACTAGTCTACAGCAAGTGAGACCAAGCCAAAACATATCAGATACACAGGGTTTTATTACACTACTTGAGCCACATCAGCTACATCAGGGATCTATTCCAACCTCAAGACAAAGGCTTTCCAGCTAATAAATTCTTCCTTTATCTGTCAGTCAGGCCTTCCTTTCCTGGCCCACAAACACCTGAGACCAACTAGAAGGTGCCCCACAGTGGGCAGCATTAGGTTCCCAATGCTTCATCCCTCCCCAGTGAATTGCAACAGATTTCTCCTAGCTCCAGCAGACATCTGTGCTCCCAGAAATTCCACATGAGAAGGAGGTGCTAAACTAGTTAAACACAAGGGAATAGCCACCACTTTATAAGCATTTTCTCTACCCAAGCAAGTCCGGCTGTTCCTACACAAGCCTCTGATCCCACTCTGTCATTCCAGGGAGGTGAAACGCTCCTACCGTTTGCAGCTTTTGCTTTCTCTTTCTCATCCTCTTCTTTGTCTGAGCTCTCAGAGCTGCTCACGGGATCAGGAACTCTGATCTTTTCAGGGATGGCTTCTTCATCATCACTCACCTTTCTTCTCCTGGTATTTGAGGGAGTTCTGAAGAAACAGGATTTGCATCAGAATTGGGGAAAAAATATCTTAAAAAGAATAAAATACAACTATTCACCTACTCTTGGGTCAGGCTCCAGCCTAAGGACAATCAGTGTCATTCCTCTACAGCTCCTAAAAGGGTGGGAGAAAGACTTCTCTAATCTGCAAAGAACAACTCCAGCCTTCCCCAGGCAACTCTTGAGAGCAACATACCCCCTGCAATACTCAGAATTCTGAGATACTGTACGCATTTTCTCCTGTGTCCTAAACAGACTGCTTGACACTTCATCAGAGAAGTAAAAATGTGCAGTCAGGCTGGTTCTCACAACAGAACAAAAGCATCCTACAGGACAAATTCCTTCTCCAGGAGGCAGCTACAGCCAGGCAGTAAGTGCAACCCCAAGGTTAGGACAATCAGCGCCAAACAGGTGTTGGTATGCCACAAGGCCAGGAGAAGTGAGTCTGAAGGCTGTAAAAGCCTTATTCTATTTGTTCATCTGATTTAGAAACAAAATTAGTTTAACAATGTGGCCAGTAAAGACTGTGCTTATTAGAGTGTTTCAGGAGCAGAGCTGTAACAGCAAGGTTTTTCCAAGCAGGCAACGCCAACGGCACATTTGCTGTTACAAAGTCCTGTATACTACTCCAACAAGCCACACCGGCAGCTCCTACCCTACAAACCCTTCCCAATTCAGCAGCAGCTGATAACACAACAGGGACTGCTGTCAGAATCTGTTGTGGGTGACCAGAGGCTTAGGGATACTGCATGAGGACAAACAGCAGTGCCCCAAGGCACTTGCTAGAGGGAGGAACTGCAAGCCTGTCTCTACACTACCACATCCTGCACCAAGGCATGAGGTGTTCTAGCAAAAGACATTTCTGAAGCAAAGATCCAGTTCCTGAGGCTGCTGACATGGGCACTCTTGAGGAGCATCTTCACTCCAGTGCTCATCAGTACAGGCACAGAAGCCCATCTCCAGACAACCCAGCTCTGTGGCTGCCACCAGTGTCAGACCAAAGCCAGAGGTGCCCAGGGTGGATGCAAACATCATTGCATCCCACAGGGGAGGTGCTGCAGACCTTCACATGGGGTACTCACTGGAATAACTACACAGGAAGGTGCTGGGCTGAACATGTAAGGACTTGGAACCAAGAGACTTGGTTCCAAGGTTTAAGATCCTGCAAGAACTTTGGCATTTCAAGCATCTGCTCTAATTCCCTGCTCTTGGGTCAAAGCTCCTGCAAAGGACGTGGCTTTAAAACGAAAGTGAAACAGAACTGGGGGAAAGATTTCTGCCAGTAAAGCATGATTCTGAGAACCCCAATACTCCAGTGTTAACCTCAACCAGCAAGAACAGCACCAGCTGCTCAAAACTGGAGTGTAACAACTTATCCCCGAACTCAGACTGCTGAGCACGGTTAGCATCAGGAATACTCTGACAACAGGAAATTCTAGCAGCTAAAGATCACACGTGCCAATACAGCCTGGAATTTACTCCATAGGCATTTCCCCCTTCGACTTACTTTTCCCAGTGGGTAAAGATGTCCTCGAGAGAGGCCGAGAGGGAAGGGAGCAGCTTCTGTGAAAACCGAGGGAACACGAGTCAGGCACCAGCCCCAGGTCAGGGTGCCACCAGACAGCAGCGGCCCCTCCAGCATCCCCGGGGTAACGGAACCGTGTCCCCCCCGCACACCCCCCCCCCCCCAGTAACACCCCGCACCCCACCAGCGGCCCGGCCCTGTGCCCTGGGCAGCAGCGGCGGAACCTCCCCTGCTCAACACGTGCTCGGGTCGGCTTTAACGGGCGGGCTGCCGGCCCCGCTCCTTCTCCCCGGAAGCCACTCGGGGCCAGGGCAACACGTGGGTCCAGCGTGGAGCAGCGGGAAGCGGCACAGAGCTGAGGGCCCAGGGCGCGCCCGGCCTCCGTAGTGAGGGAGCAAAGCGGGCCCAGGCCCCCTTTCCTCCCTCATCGGGTCCGGGCCCTCCGAGGGCCGTTATCCCCCTCACCCCCGGTGCGGGTTACCTGCCCGGTCTGCGCCTGCAGCTCTCGGGCCGCCCTGGCGAACCCGCCGCGGAGCAAGTGCTGGTGGATGAGGGCGAGCAGCTCCGGAGCCCCGCGCCTATCTGCCGCCATGGCGCGGCCTGCGGGCGCCGCGTGCTGCGCGCCTGGAGCGTCACAGCCGCTTCCGCCCGCGCTGCCCGATGGGAGTTGTAGTGCGGGGTGGGGAGGGTGGGGATGGCGGCGCACATGGGGGCAGTGAGGGCTTAGAGAGGGGTAACGGGGGACAGGCCCCTAACAACGGGGTGGGAAGGGCTGTGGTTACTTCAGCCCCATCCCTGGCAGTGTTCAAGGCCAGGTTGGACACAGGGGCTTGGAGCAAGCTGCTCCAGTGGAAGGGGTCCCTGCCCGTGGCAGGGGTTGGAACAGAATGAGCTTTAAGGTCCCTTCCAACCCAACCCAGGCTGTGATTCGTGGGTCTGTGACATCCGCTCATTTTCCTGCTCTGAAGGCAGAGGCTTTGCTCCTACGATGCTCTCTGAAGGCTGATGTAGTGCCGTAGGAAATTGAGGTGCTTGGGCAACTTTGGGGCTAAACCAAGCAAGTTAAGAGAGGGACAAGGAGCTGCTGATGCAGAGCAGCTGCTGGAAAGGGGCTGCCCCATCACCACCCTGCTCCACACTGACACCCTCCAGGAACAACCTGGCTCCCTGCACTCTGGCAGGGGTTTATTTCTGGGAGGTTCAATAACGTCCATGGTGTGCCCATTGCCCGCTGAGATACAGGCCCTTTATTTGTATTTATAGGCAAGATTAAATATAAACCTGGCCCGGCTCCAGCTGGCTCTTGTGCCTTTGACACCAGCATCACCCAGCGCTGCAGAGCCACTGCCCGGGTGGCAGCTTTACAGCTCCTGTGAAATGAATCCCAGCCCTGCTGGGGCTGGCACAAGCAGTCATTGATGCTTGGTGTTCATGTGGCCACAGCGGGGTGGCTGGCCTGGGGCTGTGTCCCAGCGTGACTGCTGATGCTCTGACACGACCCAAGGTGCAAGGCCTGGTTTGGAGACCTGGATCTCCTAACCCGAGGGGAAGAGCCAGGTAAAGCAGCCTGGGACAGAGCAGTGAAGGGTGGGTGCCTCTTGGGGCAGCTGGCCTCTAATAGTGAGATTGAGTGGAGAGTCAGCCTCCTTGGTCCACAAAGGGCCCAGGCTGTTGCCGATATGGGGATGGACAGATCTAGATGTGCTTTGGTGCAGTTTGGAATGGTTTTATACCTCCAGGAACCCCTCAGTTTGCTTTATTGAAACCCCATTCCTGTCTCTGCCTTTTCCCACTGGGATCCTTGTGATTACAGGAGGCGCTGCACAGACCTCAGCTAAAAAGAAGCAGAGGGTCCTTCCTGAGCAATGGAGCTCTCCAGACAAATGTCACACAGTTGAAGGATCCCTGTGTGGTGCAGGGAAGTGCAGCAGTGCTGTTTCTCTTGGTCTGAATGGAGGGTGGATGGGAGGAAGGCTGGAGGGTGGCAGGTCACCAGAGCAGCAAGCCGTCAAGATGCCAACAGGGTGATGAAGGAGGGTGAGAACATCCCGACAGCTCTCAGGGTAGGACAACACAGGCAGATCCCTCAGCTCACTTTACAGGAGAGGGGAGCAAAGTCCATGGTAGCGGTGCCCTGGGTCTGGGTTGGAAGTGTTCTGCCAGGACAGCTTTTCCAGGGCTCTCCATTCTCTGTGCCAAGGGAAGATGCTCTAAAGGGAGCCTGGGGAATGGGGTCCATTAGTTCCCCAGATGCTAGAATACCGACAAGCCCCTGCTCTGCTGCATTTCAAGGCCTCTCCTCTCTGTTGGCTCAGAACACACGTGCACTAGAAAGCATAAACGGTTTGGTTTTGACCAGTTTCAGTAAAACATGTAAGGAAAAAATACAGATGAGCATAGATGGGAGAAAACGCATTCAGGAGAACCGCTCTTACAAAAACCAAATTGAATATCTCAAAGCCCTGAGCATCATGGACAAATGTCTTGAAAACTTGACTCCATTTCCCCCCACCCCAGGTATCTCTTCACAGGTCCACTACAGGTCAGGGTCACTTGAGTCCAAAGCCTCATCCCCTGGAACCGTGAATACCCTCAGCAAACCGCAGCATGGGGCTGGGAGTAACGCAACCCACTTGAATGAAGACATCTGAACACAAATAGTATGTATGCTGCACCACAATTACAGGTAGCGAAGGTATTTGAGGCGGTTGGTAAACATGCCAAATAATAAATAGAGCTATTCAGTCAGCCAACAGCTGCAGGATTATAAATAGGGAAACCTACCCCAGCTGAGAGCCAGCAGCACGCACACACTAAGGAGGGATTTGTGTGTGTGTGCGTTTTTTGGAGGGAGGTCGAAACTATTTTGCCCACTCTTTATTTTAGGAAGGTGGAACGTCCCCGGTGGGTTTCAGAAGCTAACCTCTCGGGTATGCCTTCTCCATGCCAAGACACTGAGTCACGGAGGGACCGCAGGAAGCTGTTTCAAATCCAGACAGGGGATAAAGCAGCTGTAATTGAGGAGCCAGCTGAGCTCTGTCTGCTCAGAACCACACAGCCCCATCCCTGCCCTCAGCTCTACAAGCCGAGAGCTTTGCTCGCTGCCGCTTTCACATGTTCCTTGGATATGGCTTGGGGTCAGCCTCGTCCGCACCTATTCCATTCTGAATGAGTGCTTGTGTCCGGGCCAAGCCCGGGGTCAGGGAGCGTGCTTGCAGGCTGGAGAGCGCTGTCCTGCCTCCAGTGGGAGCTGACAGCCTCCAGGCACGTCTGCTGGACCCTCGGGCCTGCAGGGATGTGTTGCTGCTCTGCAGCCTTCACTTGAATGCGTTTGTCCATCCATCAGTTTTAGTGGCTGCTGATACCAGGCAGGGATACCCAACAGGGATGTTGCTCCCTCTGCCTTGGCTCCACAGCCGAGGGGTGGGATGGGTGGTCAGGGACAGGACCCTTGTTGCCTCCAGCAGTAACTGATATGTCTCATGAGTCAGCCTGCGGGCTCAGTGTGCAATCCACGTTTAGGAGGATAATCTTCCTGGCCCAGCTCAGAGGCTGAGATGAATTTCCCTGCTCAAGTCCCCTGCACTCTCCCTCCTGAAAAGCACCTTGGGGACAGAGAAGAGAGTATCACAGGCGATGGGGATGGGTCAGGGCAGGGGGAGTGCAAGAGATAGATGGAGATGGAGGGTGTTAAGGGATGGTGAGGATTGGAGGTGGGAGCACAGCAGAGAGAGAACAGGGGGAGCATTGAAAGGACACATAAGGACAGAGGAGGGAGTTCTCATTTTGAAGGGAAAGGAAGCGAACAGAATGGAATGGAATGGAAGAGAAATCTAAGGAGGATGGAGAAGAAGACATGACCAAGGAAAGATCAAACCAGCACAGGGATTAGCTGGGGGGGGTGTTCACTGTAGCCCCTGCTTGACAGCTCGGGGTGCAGAGGGAGGGCTGCCGGGTGCTGCTCTGCAGGGTTTTGGGTCACTGATAGCAGCACCGCTCACCACAGCCTGGGGAGCACATCCTGGGCTGCAGCCAGGCCCTGGGGGCAGAACTGTGCAGTGCCAGTTTCAGTGCCCTCAGCCCATTGGGGTGGGCTGGGGCTTTACAAGGACAAGGAGCTGCTTTGGGAATGGTCTGACTCAGGAATCCCGGCTTTTTTCTTTCTTCCCCCCCCCCCCCCCCCTTTGTTTTGCTGTTCTCTCCCCCTCCTCCTTTTTCTTTGTCTGCTAATGCGCAGCAGATGGGAGGAAATGCCATTTTAAATGCCACAGCATCCTGATGAAACTCGATGGGTTATGGCAGTCTCGGATGAATCATGGCATTGTTTTGTGTACATGGCCCTGCTGCCGCTCTCAGCCTCGCTTGGGCAGCTCTGTGCCTGCAGCTTTGCTAATCCATGTTGGGTTGCTCAGGGATCACCCCAGCAGGTGCCCCCGGGGACCTGGGTGTTATTAATTAATAAACCAGCCTCATTTTGGAGGCAAAACTGAGCCCAAAGTGCGTTATTGCTTTATCAGTGGTGGAACCAGCAGCCAGCTTTGGAACATCTGGTCCATGCTGCCTTTGGGGACGTGGGGGTTATAAATCACGCTCCATTCCCGTGTTGTGTTTATACGCTTTCCACACAAGGTGGAAGAACAGGGTTGAGAGAACCCAACCCAGCACAGCCCAGCCCTCCCCACCACCCCCAGCTTAGCCCATGGTCCCTCTGGAAAGCTGGGCTGTGTCCCTGTGCTTCCTCCTTTGCCCCACCGCTGGGACGGATCCACAGAGCCAAGGCTGAGGTGGGTTTCTGTGATGTAGCTGCTTGCTGACAGGGTTTTGCTTGAGGTGATCCAATCATTTCATCTAAGCCATCAGGCAGGAGTTGGATAATATTGACTCACTCGCTGGCAGCTTGCTGCCAGATGAGAAGGAGCAACCCAGGAGTTAAAAAAACAGCAATAAAATACACACATCCCAACAGCTCCATCAGTGAACCTCGCAGCGAGCCAGCCCTCTCAGCTTCAAACTCAATAATCGTGGGGGGAAAAGTCACCTCTAAGCCTGCAGAATATAAAGCAGCCCTTTAATTTCAGTAGCTGAAAGAACAGATTTGAGCACTCCAACGAGCAGAAGACGTGACATTAAAATTTGGTTGCAATATGCTTAACAGTCTCGATTGGAAGTGTATCTCTGGCTACGTCTAACTGCTTGTGTCTACTGCCGTGGCAGTTACTCAGTGCTGGCACAAGAGCATTAAGCCGTTTAATTCCTCCATTTTTTGGGTTGTAGATCTAACATACATGGATGCAGTGAGCAGAAGGGCTGTTATGAATCGACCCCCATCCCAGCCCTGCTGTCCCCCAGGCTCTTGCTCTCATTTGCAAGCATATCCCTGTTAAAAGGCCTGGCAGGCTCATGGCGTAGCACAGCCAACACCAACAGCCACAGCAGCTCCGCTGTGTTTATCCAGATTCCAGCAGCTGTACCTGGGAGGAGAGGGAAGGGGTTGTGTCTGCATTCATGAAGCCATAAGTCTGAGGTATTACTTTTCTCCCATCAGGCACCCTTTGCTGCTTTAATTTAAGTCAAAAGCAGTGCAGCAGGAAAAGGATGGGAAGGAGGGAGTGGGAAG